CCCTGCCTCACCCTTGGGTGGGGGGTATGGACCATGTTGCTTCCCCTGCCAGGCGGACTTCTTCCTAATTCTCTGGGGAGCGGAAGGGGGAACGATCACCACAAAGCAAAGGGAGCCTTCACTTACACGGTTAGGTCTGAGATGGGGGAACCCAACCGTCTGCACCTCAGAGATCACGCTTCGGGCTGGCTGGAAAACCAGAGTTCTATTGCTTGGAGACAAATGGCGGTTTTAGAAACTGTTTTCATTTCGCATCAGCACAACACTGTAAATTTTTCATGAAAAACAAGACAGAGGCCCCAATCCCCACATAGCCAATAGCCTGCTGGTTCGGGCACTCATGTGGGAGAGCCAGGCTCAGGTCCCTGTTCCCTCACCATCAAGCTCTACGATCAGGCTCTTTATCTCTCTCTCAATCAATCCTGTCGGGAGCGGTCACACCTTGTATAAATAATTAACTATCCACAAGACCAGCCTTCCTCCCACGTGGAGCACATGAGCGACATCTACAATGTTACAGGTGAGATGACATCAGTTTAAATGAAGGAGCATTTTCAGTTCCTGTTTGAGCTAAAATTCCCCAGGATTTCGTTTGTCTGAAGAGGCAGGCAAGGGATTGACCATGTTCTGATCCCACCTGAAACAGCAAATAGCAATATTATAGTGACTTCTAGAGCAAGCACAGAATAATGAATGTCAGCTTAACCACTGTGATGTCAGAAAGCAAAGAATGATGAACACACCCACACTGGCTGCAGGCAAAGCCTGCCCAATGGGGCTTCAGCACATAGTATTTAAGCGTATGGAATGTCTTACTGGCAATTCACTTTCAGCTCTGTATGTTGAGACCTCTGTTATGTTACAGGAATATTTTGCCTCAACAATATAAATTGATGTCTGGAAAGGATCCTGGAATCAGGCGTTTAAATCATACAGATCAAATCAATCTCCCTGCTTTAATATTGGTTACAGGAGCTTTGAAAGCAGTGTGTCCCTTTCCTTAGTTGGATACCATGTTAGGAAGTGGACTCTGGTCCATTCAGATGGCTTTGTTACTGAGAGGTGTCTTTACAGGAAAGATAAACTGCTGATTAGCCTCACTGTAACAATAAATATAGGTACTCTCCACTTTTAGAACATCTTTCATCAGAGGCTTTTTAAGCACTTTTCAAACATTACTTAACCAAAAAAGTTCCTCCTACAAGTAACAAAAGTTGTAAATTTTGTTGCGTCTTATAACAGCACATCAAAAATAACTCTTGGGCAGGGTATAAACATAACAGGCTGGGGTTGCTCTCTCCAACATGGACAATCCATTAGATGTAAGATTAGGAGCTCGATCTTGCAACCCTTCCTTGTTTGAATGGTGACTTCAGGGGAACAACTCACAGCTAGCAAGGATGTCTCATGAATAAAGGACTGCATTATTGGGCCCTCTGAATACACAAACACTAAACAATGTTCCTCTGCTCAAACAAAGGGAACCCACATTCTCAGAGGCCTCATTAGGTTGCCTGACTCCAGTGCCCTGGACAGTGCCTCTGAGCGGCCACTCAAATAATCCAGAGCAAACAGCAAACAAACAAAACCAATCAGAGCATCTAGTGTTTGCTTACCAAGTTTGCTTAAGTGGATTGGTGGGGAAAATGGTGAGTGGCTCCCCAGTCCCACTAGCAGGCACCTTATCTACAGCCTCCCTCTTTTTATAAACCCCTCTATTAGCAATGCAGCAAGCTCCTCTACTGGTCAGATTACTAAAGGGATCCAGGTGTAGTCTAACTTCCATGAACCATGTAAATTACTCCCTTTGGTCCTAGCTTCCTCTAGCTCCCCTATTCCAACTTCTATGCTAACGTCACCTCAATGTCTTAGATCCTCAGACCCTAGACTGGGTGCATTTCACTGATAAGGTCTTTGACAGAGTGGAAAAGGTGAATTTTTGTCTGTGGTCTTTCAGTGATTTGGATTAAAGGGGCTCACCACAGTGGCTTAAAAAGGCCTTTTGTAACAGGCAAACAGCTACGGTTCAGACTAACAAGATAAACTTTTCTCGATTTCACTTACCTAGTGGAATCAGACACAAATGGCTAGCAGTAGAGCATCTCTGAAGAGGCTGAGCTCACATATCTGGGGCTCTATGACATTGCCTTCATGGAGTCTTCTTGACATCACATTGTCATGATATATAACAGAACGCTGCTAGGCGTGTCTCCTTTTGGTACAGCAGGGAGTTGCTGTCTACCTCTTTTGTCTGTTTAATCCTTTCTTTCTTTGTTACTCTAGATCCGTAGAAAGCCCACCAAAATACAGATTTAATAGACATAAAAGTATAAACACTGCTGGTCCAGGCATGGGAGTGCCGCACTTCAATATCTAGATCACAGCACTCATGCTCAAGGCAACTCAAGTTCTTTCGCCTTCTCTGTGTACAAAGCCCTTTAATAACCTTTACTTTCTAATAGTTTCCCTTGAGACCCACTGACCTTACTGTAGTTCAATCTGAGCTGCAGAACACAGAGACCTGGGGGAGGGGAGAGATAGATACATGCCATTTAAGCCTTAGGCTGGGACTGTAGCTTTGCTTCTTCTCAACATCTGACACCTGCCTTCCTTCTTCACCGCCACATATTGCCATACATTCACTCCAACCACTGTGGTACATGCAGCTTAAAGCTCTGATATCTTTGTTTTCTGTGTGCCTCGGCTTTAAGTTTCCAAGAACTCTGCTGCCTGTCTACGAGACAGCAGCCATTTTGTTCTTAGACGTGCTGCTGCCTGTTACTAATTGGCATGCACTGTGCTTTCTCAAATGGCTACTTTACTTTTGCTCTTTCTTTTAGCTGCTTGTCTGAATCTAAAATAAAAGTAAATGTAGATTGAAAGTCGTTGTTTTGCCCTATGTGTTTGGAAGTAAAATACTCACAGCTGCTATTAGATACCTGCAGGGCGGTGGGTATCGAAGGCCAGGGAAGGCTGAGCCTCCCCCAACAGCCTTGTGTGGCCCCGCCCATGCTCCGCCCCCACGCCCCTTCCTGCTTCCCGGTGCTGTGCTGCAGGGGGGGGGGGCCCTCTTCCCCCAGTGGCTGGGGCCTCAGGCTGGGGCTAATGAGTGCTGGCCTGCACTCCAGGGCTGGGGGAAGAGGGGGTGCCACCCTCCTGCCCGATGCTCCGGGGCTGGGTGAGGGGAGCTCTAGGCTTCGGCAGGAGGGGTGGGGCCTCAGGCAGAAGGGGCAGGTTGGGCCAGGGGCTACCCTCCACAAGCCTGGGGTTCTCCCGCCGTCCATGGATACCTGTACATACAGGTTTCCAAAGAAGCAATGGTGACTTGAAAGGGAATAAAATTGGGATTTGTTCCTCTCCCAGGTCAATTGTCTATCCCCTTTTTCTTTTGCATCTTTAGAATGTATAAAGAAGGCTTAAACATTGCTTTCAATTTTTTCTGCTAGGGTTTTATCTTAGAAATATATCAAGAATTTCAAGTCTGGTCTGGCTTTTGTCAGAGCACACAAAACGTGTGAGCATTCTCAACCTTCGTATGAAGGTGCAAACAAGGTTGACTAACTAAAAAAATCTTTTAATCCAACTGTTTATAAGATGTTTAATTTAAATAGATGTTAATAAAAAACAAAAGGCAGAATTTTAAACTGTCTGAATAAAAATCATTCTCTCAGTTAATCAAGTTTAACTTCCTAGTGTCTCTGATGTTCTAACCCCACCAGCTCCCCATCTGTCCATAGAGGCTTCATCAAAAACAGAGTAAACAGGACCTAAAGGTCTAGTGTATTAAAAACAGTCTTTAAAACATTTAAAACCAAAATAGGTTAGGCCTTATTCACATACCACAAATGAGAAAAAACATTAAAAAGGCACAAACCCGTTTTTTCTAAAAGTAATCTTGACTTAAATATATGGGCCAGATCGGCAGCTGGTAAAAATCAATAGCAAACCATTGACTTCAGTGACTCTACACAGATTTACACCAGTTGAGGATCCGGCCCTTCATGTTTTGCTCTTTGTCTGTGAGAAAATGTAACAGAGAGAAATGCTACTTCTTTCCATTTCTTGCATTAATCCTCTCAGTCTTCCGAGTTACCATTAAAAGAAAACAATGACAAATTCTAGCCGGCTGCCTAAAAAGCCCAGAATGTCCATCAATCCTTTGGGCCTCTAAACGAACTGCCTGTTACGCAATCCCACATCCCTGCCTGTAGGCGTTCAAACCCTTAATCAGCTAAGGAGAGGGTGATGGTGAGATCCACCCAATCTTTGGAGACCCCGGGGAAGAGATTGTTGCTACTTATGTGAAAGTAATCTCCTACTTTGTTTGTGGGTTGGTTTCTAAAAAAAAAAAAAACGAACTTGTCTATCAGATGCCAAAAGAGTTTAGCATTAAATTGTAACCTGCTATTAAAAAAAACAACAACCGCACACACAGATTGTTTATTTTTAGATGGAAAAGCTCAATTATCAACAGTAACTAATCCAGGAAAGAAGGTACAGCTAGTGATGGTCACCTAGCTGACACAGTGAATTAGACCCAGTGTCGGTCAGTGGCATGGGAGACAGACAGACAGATGGAGCCCTCCCTGTCTGTCAGTCTCTCTGTCTCACCACAGCAAACTCTTTGCTCATATCTTCTGCTTAGTTTTTTCATTATCCTTCTGCAGGGGAAATGTTTTATTGACAAGGCTTCTCTGAGGTTTCTGGCTAGCCCCCTAAGACACAGTGAGAACTGAACCTGCTCAGCTCCTCCTCACGTCTAGCCAGTCCCTTTCATTTACAAACACCATAGCACAGCCAGCTGAAAATGAAGGGTTTAGATTCCATTACAGTGTCATCTGGGCTGTATGGTATCCGTTTCTTTCCAGCATTGAGGTGCTCAAATACAGCATTCACCTATGGTTGTAGTTTTGCAGGTGAAATACAGCGTAGGGGGTGACTTGCATCCCAGATTCATTTCATGATGGCTCTGCGTATGCCATCCAAAATTTCATTGGCCTTTTTAGGTGAGTTTGCCACAATGTTACACTGCAAGCTCCCTGTCCAATTGCTTTCCTAGTATCTCCAGCTTGTTAAAATTATGGGATATTTTTTCCTAGATGTACTAGCCCTGTACACTTTCCCTTGTTTAATCATTTTATTTCCTGTCCATTTGTTTAGCTCCTCGAGGTTTGTTTTTCTGACCTGATTGGAGTTTGCTCTGCCTCACCTC